ATACTTTAAAATGGTTAAAAGGTAGATTTTAGATCAAGAAAAAATAGAATATAGGTTTTATATGACAATCTTTCATTTAGCACATTTTCATTGTGCATCTGCTGTGTGGCAGATAAAATTATGTTTTCTTTAGTATAATGCCTTTACTGGGGGTGTCAAGTAGAAATAATTTGGATTAAATTTTAAATACAGCACTGTAGAAATAATCCCTAAAGTATGTATGAAGTAGCATCTTTGGTACTACTAGGAAATAATACTGGTCCTCCCATAAAAATGCACTAAAATGAATTAATTACAACAAAAATTATTGCCATTTTTTGAGCACATGTTGTGTGCTAGACTTGATGCCAAGTGCTTTTGTGTGTTTTATGTTATTTAATCCTTGTAGCAGCCCTGTTGATAAGAAAACTGTGGATCAAAAGATGAAGTCATTTGTCTGTGCTAGTAAGTGCCACAGCCAGGATTCAAACCATGGTTTGCTACATTTGAAATTTTTCTATTTTCAGCAGCTAAAATCCCTTTTATTAACAAAGTAAAATAGATTATAATAATGGATCCAGTTTTTTGCTTTAAAGGTATATGAATAAAGTATTCCCAGTTCTCATTATTACCACATTGGCCCCTTGTGCAGCTTTCCAGAAGCTGCCCTTTCTGGTCTGCACTTGCTCAAGGACTAAGAAGGCTGGCATTCTGAGAGGCTGCTTACGCCATCCTCCAGAGACCCGGATGTGTGTGGACTACAGGAGCCCTGACAGTAGCCAGTTCTGTAACTCACACTCCATTGCTCTGCTGAGAAAGGTACAAAATACAGCACTGTAGAAACATTCTCTAAAGGTGCATCTAGAGGCCGGGCGTGGGTGCACAGACCTGTAATTTCAGCTGCATGGGAGGCTGAGGCAGGAGAATCACTTCAACCTGAGAGGCAGAGGTTGCAGTGAGCTGAAATCACGCATTGCACTCCAGTTTAGGTGACAGAGTGAGATTTCATCTGAAAAAAAAAAAAAAAAAAAGGTTCGTCTGGTTGAGAGTAAAATAGTTTGCATAGCTCAAGTACCGCCCCTTATGACTCACTGAACAAGGCTGAACACTTTGGATGGTGACCACAGACTGTTCCATGATTTGGGAGGGTGAAGACATCTCCCTAAAGATATTGGCGAAGTTAGATAGTGAGAAATGACTAGGTTACAGTCTATTTCCCAGAATATGAGGCCCCGCTACAGCATGGCTCGAATCTGGGTCTCAGTCAGAGTGTCAGCAAGGTCTTCCTGTCCTCTGCTGATTAGAGGAACACCCAGCTCCTCTGCACTAGAAGCACTCAGCTCTGTTTACTCTTTGGGAGAGAGATGACGGGGCTAGTGAGGGTGGGAGGTGAGGGGCAGCTGGCAGAAGCTGTCTGCTTGGTCATCATTGCCACATGAAGTAATTTGTCACAGATTCTCTGGCTGATTTTTCAGCAAGCTCTCATGGACTTGGAGAGGTCACTGAGGTGAGCTGTGTGTTGTGTGTAAACACAACACTGACGGGGGCTTCAAAGCCTCTGTTACCCCGGGATTATAATTTATTGAATTAACAGAACCAAATAGAAGAACTTGTAGGTCAGAGCCAACAGTGGGTCACAGGGACTGCCCAGGCTGGCCTCTTGGGACTCCCTCAGCTTGTGAGCCTTGAAGGGAGGGGTCAGTCATCTGGATTGGGCCTCATTTTGTAGCATTAGTTGAACACTTACCATTGACAGGGCCCTGTGCTATTCACTTTACATCCATTATCTCCCTTATTCTCAAAGTACTGTGAAGCAGGTACCGTTATGCTTATTTTACAGATGAGAAAACCGAGGCTCATAAAAGTTCAGTAATTTGCCCAAAGTCCCACAGATAAAGATTCTGTCTTCATGGAACTTATATTTTAGTGGGAAGGAAAGAGATTAATTGTGAAAATGATTGAGGGTCTAAGGATGGGTAGGGTCTGGCTCCTGGGACTGTGTTAGCAGCTGTATTTCATAGACTCTAAGATGCCTCAATTCTGAGGTGCAACATTATTTTATACATCATTAAGGGAAAAAATTTCCAACTTAACAATGACATGCATTGAGTAAAAGATACATCCCAGTTTTACAGATTAAAACGTACCTGTTAGAATTGATGAAGTATGGTACCAGCTGTCTTTCTTTGGTGCCAAGAAAGAGTGAAATCTTTCCATCCTGAGTGGAATCTGATTCATGGCTGGGACCCATCTGATTGAGGTTTGTATCCTGAGACACGCCCATTATCATATCTGTCTAGAAGCCAAGCACTAAGCTGGGGCTCAGGGAAGCCTGTCCTGGCTGGTGCCTGAGGCTTTTTCCCAAAGAAATTGACTCAGCTAGTATTGAGGAGGAGCAGGAAGATTGAATAGAAATCGCAGAAGGCAGGAGGACACCAGCTCTCTGCCATGGAGGGCTTGCCCAAGTCTATCCTGGGCCCTCCACTCATCCAGATTGTATATGTTGGGCTAATCTCTCCTTGAAAAAATAAGGTCTTGACTACTGTATTTCAAGTTTCCTTTGGATTATCACTGATTTTTAATAATCTATCATAAGCATCATCTGTTTATTCTCAAAATTGCTGAATTAGATGTGCTGTCAGCATGGAATCCAAAGTTTTAGGTTTAAGGTCTGCCCTTCCTACTGAAAACTACCAGTTTAAGCTGGATACTTTATTCTTTCAAATAATGGTAAAAATGGAATAGCCAACACTTACCAAGCTTATACTGTGTGCCACATCTTATTACTAAACCCTTTATAAGCATTACTCATGCTAATTCTCATGACCCCATGAGAAACTATTATCATTTTCATTTTATAGATTAATAAACTGAAATATACAGAGGTTCAGAATCTGCTCAAATTCATAGTTATACATAGTGAAGTCAGGATCAGAACTCAGGGAGTCTTTCTCCAAAGCTTATTTATTTATTTATTTATTTATTTTTCAGTTTCGCTCTTTTTGTCCAGGCTGGAGTACAATGGTGTGGTCTCAACTCACCGCAACTTCCACCTCCCAGATTCAAATGATTCTCCTGCCTTAGCCTCTCGAGTAGCTGGGATTATAGGCACACGCCACCATGCCTGGCTAATTTCATATTTTTAGTAGAGACAGCGTCTCTCCATGTTGGTCAGACTGATCTCAAACTCCCAACCTCAGGTGATAAGCCTGCCTTGGCCTCCCAAAGTGTTGGGATTAACAGGCGTGAGCCACTGCACCCAGCCTGATTTTTTCTTAAATTAGGTTTCAATTTTAGGTGTAATTTACATGCAGTAAAAACTACCTTAGTTGTATAGTTCAGTGGGATTTGACAAATATCTAAGCAATCAAGATTAGGTCATTGTTATCACATCAGAAGTTCCCTCTGCTCCTTTGTGTTCTGTTCCCTTCCCCAACCCAGCTTCTCAGAAACAACTGATCTGTATTCAGTTCATATAGTTTTATGTTTTGCAGAATATCATATAAATGGAATCATAGCATTTAACCATTTGTATCTGGCTTCTGGCTTCTGTCACTTAGAATAATGCTTTATGATTCACCTACATTGTTGCCTGTATCAGTAGTTTTTTCCTTTCTATCGCTAAGAAACCTTCCTTTGTACAGATGTATCGAAATTTGGTCATCCATTCACCAATTGATAAACATTGGTCCATCTATGATAAAGCTGCTATAAACATCCAAGTACAGGTGTTTATGTTGTCATTTCTCTTACATACCTAGGAGTGGGATTGCTGGGTCATGCACTAAGTGCATATTTAGCATTATAAGTTAATGCCAACTATTTTCCCAAGTGGATGTGCCATTTTGCATTCTCACCAACAATAGTAAGATTTCCATTTGCTCCACATTCTCTCCAACTACAGATGCTTTTGTACGATCTGTTTTTAAACGTGATCCATTTTAGTAGGTATGCAGTGGTATCTCATTGTGGTTTTAATGCATTTCTCTAATGACCAGTGATATTGAACATCTTTTCATATTTGTATTTGCCATCTGGCATATTCCTTTGCCCTAAAGAAACTCCTTTAGCAGTTTCTCTACTATGGGTTGACTGTCAATGGCTTCTTTCAGCTTTTGTTTTTAAAAGCTTTATTTCACCTTCATTTTTGATAGTAATTTTTGCTGGGTATTGATTTCTATGCTGACAGCTTTTTTCTTTCAGTACTTCAAAGATGTTGCTCCATATTCTTGTGACTTGTATAGTTTCTAGAGATGTCTGCCCTATGTTTATTCCCCTGTATGTAATCTTTTCCCATTCCCTGCCTGCCTTCAAAATTTTATCTTTGTTTTTGGTTTTCAACTGTTTTGTTTTGTTTTTTTTTTTGAGACAGGGTCTTGTTCTGTCACCCAGGCTAGAGTGCAGTAGTGCAATCATGGCCCACTGCAGCCTTGACATCCTGGGCTCAAGCAATCCTCCTACCTTAGCCTCCTGAGTAGCTAGGACTACAGGCATGTGCCACCATACCCAGCTACAGACAGGGTCTCTCTATGTTACCCAAACTGGTCTTGAACTCCTGGGCTCAAGCAGTCCTCTTACCTTGGCCTCCCAAAGTGCTGGGATGACAGGCATGAGCCACCATGCCCAGACTGGTTTTCAGCATTTAACTATGATGTGTCCAGGTGTGTCTTCTTTGTTTGTTACTTGGTTTCTTTTTTCTTCTTCTTTTTTTCCTTTTGTTTTAATTTTTAATTATTTGTTGGTTTGCTTGGGTTTGCTGAGATTCTTGGGTCTGTAGTTTGTCACCTTGTATTGATTTTTGGAACATTTTTCACCATATTTCTTCTGCTCCATTCTTTTTTTCTTCTTTTGGCATGCCAGTTACACGTATGTTAGACCATTTGATACTGTCCTATAGCTGTTGGGTGCTCTGTTCTCTTTGTTTCATTTGGGGATAATTTCTATTGACCTGTCAAGTTAATTGATTATTTCCTCAGCTGTGTCTAGTCTGCTGATAAGCCCACCAAAGGAATTCTTCAGTCGTTACTTCAGCTGCACATATACTAAAATTGGAACAAAATAGAGTAGATTAGCATGGCCCCTGTGCAAGCATGACATGCAAATTCATGAAACATTCTATAATTAAAAACAAAAAAAGAATTCATCTCCAGTATTACTTGATTTCCAGTAGATTCTTTTTTTTTTTTTTTTTTTTTTTAAGAGACAAGGTCTCACTCTGTTGCCCAGGCTGGAGTGCAATGGTGCAATCAAAGCTCTCTGCAGCCTTGACCTCCTGGGCTCAAGTTATTTTCCTCCTTCAGCATCCTGAGTAGCTTTGACTACAGGCACACACCACCATGCCTGGCTAATTTTAAAATTTTTGTAGAGATGGGGTCTCATCGTGTTACTCAGGCTGGTTTTGAACTCCTAGCCTCAAGAGATCCTCCTGCCTTGGCCTCTCAAAGTGATGGGATTACAGGCATTAGTCACCATGCCTCGCCTCCAGTAGATTCTTTACTGTATTCATCGTGTAGTCTCTGTCTGATAATTCTAACATCTGGGTCATTATTGAGTCTAGTTCTGTATATTGTGTTATCTCTTAACAATAAGTGTTTCCCCTCTCCCACCCTTGCTTTTATATGTGTGTTGTCGTTTTTTTATTGAATGTCATACACTATGTGTAGAAGAACACTAGGGGCTGAGACAGTGTTTACACTTGGGCAGATCTGCATAGTGTAGGGACTGAGCCAGACTGTCAGAAGTTGAGCTGGGTTGTTTCTATCACTGCTCTCAATGCACATCAGGCTTTAAATTCCTCCAGTAATGGGCTGCTATTAGCTTGTGCTTTGTGTGAAGCCTAGGGTACCCATGTGTTTTCCTCAGTAGTCTTGTTCCATCCTCAGCTTTGAGGCATTCTTACATGCCTGTGCCAAAGAGGAGATCTTTCTCCACCCTCTTTCCCTCCCTCAGTGGTAGGCTACTGCTGCTTGTTACCTGGCTATACTCATGGTAAGGTCATGGGCTGGTTCTTGGTTCTCCTGCCCTGTCCTCGGTCTTAGACAGGATGTGAAAAGGCCACCAGCCTGGGGTCTTGTTAGCATTCCCACACCCTTCTTCTCTCCCTGGCAGCCAAACACTGCCTTGTGTCTGTGGTGGATCTTGGAAAGGAGAATTTCCTGCCCTCCCTCCGGGAGTAGTAGAGCTCTACTTTGCATTGGCTGCAGGTTCTTGGGCTCAAGAGGGCTCAAGGCGGGCCAGGTGTGGTGGCTCACGCCTGTAATCCCAGCATTTTGGGAGGCTGAGGTGGGCGGATCATGAGGTCAGGAGATCAAGACCATCCTGCCCAACATGGTGAAACCCTGTCTCTACTAAAAATACAAACAACTAGCCAGGAGTTGTGATGTGCATCTGTGGTCCTGAGTACTCGGGAGGCTGAGGCAGGGGAATCGTGTGAACCCAGGAGGCAGAGATTGCAGTGAGCCAAGATCACACCACTGCACTCCAGCCTGGTGACAGAGTAAGACTCCATCTCAAAAAAAAAAAAAAAAGGGTGGGGGTGCTTAAGGCAACCAGGGACCAATGGCTTTTGCTTCTACTCTTCCTCCAGAAGCAGTGGATCTTCACCTGGTTACTTTGACAGGAAGGAGAATTTCTCCCTTCCTCCCCCAGAGGCAGATTTTGCTTCTGCCTGTTTTCAGTGGCCCTAGGAGTAAGAGGATTTGCTTCCCCTCTCCCAGCAGCTGAAGGCTTTTACATTCTTTTAGAGGAGAGTCCCCTCCTGCAGGTACAAAGAAAAGGAAGTGGGCAGTATTTCATGCCTGTCCCCCAGTGGCAGCCTGTCACCTCCTGCACACTTATGCCACCCAGGGAGACTGTGGTTTGCTGCCCAACCTAAGTCACTTGTGAGAGCACTGAGTGGAGGTCTGTGCAGAAAAGCTCACAAGTGAGTGCAAAATGCCCATTGTGTGTGGGACTCTCAGTTGCCCTAAAGCTGAGACACTCACCCACTCTCAGCCTTTAAGAGTTTGTTAAAATTGTAGTGCTTTCTTGTTACTTCTCTGCCAGTCACTTCTTCCTTCTGTCTTCTCTCAAAGATGAAACTATTTGTGTGGCCTGACTCTTCACCTGTGCATCTGTGGTCCTGAGTACTCGGGAGGCTTTGATTTTGTAGAATTAAGTTCCCCTGGTTGTCATGAGACCTCAGCTTTCTGAGTTTTAAACTTTTTCTCATTGTTAGGCTGGAAGCAGCATTCACTTATTGATGTTTTGAGACAGAGTCTCGCTCTGTTGCTCAGCCTGGAATGCAATGGCGTGATCTTGGCTCACTGCAGCCTTCGCTTCCCGGGTTCAAGTGATTATCCTGTCTCCGCCTCCCTAGTAGCTGGAACTACAATCTCACACCACCATGCCCGGCTTATTTTTGTATTTTTAATAGAGACGGGGTTTCATGATATTGGTCAGGCTGGTCTCAAACTCCTGACCTCAGGTGATCCACCCACCTCGGCCTCCCAAAGTGCTGGGATTACAGGCGTGAGCCGCTACACCCAGCCTGCTTGTTGTTTTCTTCTTCCTAAAGGGAAGAAGAACTGCCCCAAAGCCTGCTTTTTAAATCCTAGCCCTATACTCCCTTGCAAGGAGTTTCAGCTCTAAGAGGTTGTTTAGATTTCACAGTGTAAGACAGGAAATCCCTGCATCCTCTTTCTAGAACCTATCAAAAACAGGAGTCCAGAGAAATCAAATGTGCTCAGTACAGAGTGGTCAGATTCTAGCATGTTTCCTCACTGCATAAAGTCATTTATTATGCCGCAGTTTCCCTGCTCGAAAACGTGGCCCCTCAGGGAGCATTGCAAGGAGATCGGGGATACACGAGCAGCTGTAAAGCCCTTCTCTTTTGACGACTTTACCTTATCAGGTGGCTTCCCTGCAGAGAGGCCTGAGTGGTTCATGTGCTTTGTCTCATGTGATGTCATACAGGAGCAGATGGTGCTCTTTCCAGCCTTGAAACTGAGAGAAACAAGAGGCCCGCGAGTGAAGTGCCGCCCCTGCCATCACTTGGCCCTGCCAGTCCCAAATCCAGACTCTCTGACTCCAGCCCAGCCCCAACCTAGGCCACACCACTGTGCTGTGTGCTAATTCTAAGGTCTCTGGGAGGGGGGAAAACATCTCCACAGTCATTTGTCCAGTTTCAGCGATTCATTTTGTGACTGGATCCTGAAACATAAGACTGTCTGGTTTTATAGATAGAAACAATGTCCTAAATGGGATCCGGCTTATTAGGAAGCTTAGTGCCTTGGTGTTGGAAGCATGCCTGTGGCAGAGGCCCAGACTGAGGGTGTGGTGTCTTTTTCTCTCCTACAGCTCTCGTCGGCGCCTGTGGTGGGAACTACTCAGCCATGTCTTCTGTGGTCTATTCCCCTGACTTCCCCGACACCTACGCTACAGGGAGGGTTTGCTACTGGACCATCCGGGTTCCGGGGGCCTCCCGCATCCATTTCAGCTTCCCACTATTTGACATCAGGGACTCGGCGGACATGGTGGAGCTTCTGGACGGCTACACCCACCGTGTCCTAGCCCGCTTCCACGGGAGGAGCCGCCCACCTCTGTCCTTCAATGTCTCTCTGGACTTCGTCATCTTGTATTTCTTCTCTGATCGCATCAATCAGGCCCAGGGATTTGCTGTTTTATACGAAGGTAAGATATCCTTGCCTCCTTGGGAGCTATTCAGGGACCACGTGCCTTGGGCTTCTGTTCCTCACCCTTGAGACGTGGGTGGATCCTGATTAGGCCTCAGGAACTACTGACTCAACTTGCAGATCACCCCCATTTCATAACTCATTTATGTTTCACCGGACAGAAAAGAGGGGAAAACCTGTCCATTTGGCTATTTTAGTAAGTCTAATGACAGTTTTCATGGGAGGGTTAAAAGAATAAAGAAACAGAATAACTAAAAGGAACAACTGAGATTGGGACAATTGGAAGGTTCTCAAAAGGTCATCTGGTCCATCCTCCTGCCTCTAAACATCTTAGCTAATTCCAAAAGACTGGCTTGCCATCTTTCTTCAAACCCTGCCAAGGTGGAGCCACTCTCTCTGCCTCTGTAATGTGAACACATGTGTGCTGGGCACATCTCTTTGCCAGGACACAAGAAACACAAGGTATGTGAGACGTTGTCTTTGTCCTGGATAACAAACCTCAAGAAAAGTTAAGGTACTGTGTACTCCAGAAGAACCATGGGAAGAGGCCTCCTCTGCAGGTGGGACAGTCTTGAGGAACAGGCAGGATTTGGATTAATAGGAAAGAAGAGAACCTTCCAGGCATAGGGAGCCATAGCTGCCAAGTGCAGGGGCAGAGAACCTGTAAAGCACACCCAGGTGTCTGAGATGAGACGAGCCACAAACTGTGAAGTTGACAGCTTCATCCTTCTGCCTCCTAAAGGGCGAGAGCCTGACAGGTTCTGTTTTGGCGCTGATAGGACCCACCCATGGAGGGAACTGCACACAGAATGGAGTCAGAGAAGGAGGTCTTTTCTTCATCACTCATGCTCTCCTCCCGCACAGCTCTTTGTTGTCTCCATAGCCCTCTCCCCAGTTAATTTGTTTTTTTATTCCAGCTGTCAAGGAAGAACTGCCACAAGAGAGGCCCGCGGTCAACCAGACGGTGGCCGAGGTGATCACAGAGCAGGCCAACCTCAGCGTCAGCGCTGCCCGGTCCTCCAAAGTCCTCTATGTCATCACCACCAGCCCCAGCCACCCATCTCAGACTGTCCCAGGTAGCAATTCCTGGGCGCCACCCATAGGGGCTGGAAGCCACAGAGTTGAAGGTAGCGCTCTTGACAGTTATAAAGACAAAAGTACTTGGGTGTTTCTCATTCAAAGGCAGGTTGGGATATTGACTCTGTGACCCATAGTCTGTCTTGGCTTTTGAGGGAAATTTTCTTACTAGCTTGGTTCCTTAGTCCCAAGGAAAAAGTGCTAACCTCCAAAGACTAGGCAAGTGTGTCTTTTGTACATTGTGACTAATCAGCTAATCCCGTGTTTTCTCACATTGAGATTATCTTTCTAGAGCCCCACATTGAAACAACCTACATCCATTGGCATTTGCAAGAACTCCATTCATTCACTCACTTATTCATTCAAAAGGTATATA